TAGTAATTACTATAATAAGTACATGTACATGGGTAACAGCACTGTAAAAGGAAGCGTTACCAAATATTTTTATTTAGGAACTCAATAGTTTGGGAATGTCTACAAATTTCCAAGCCCATGGGATTTCCAGACATTAAGGCTTTAATTGTGATCATTTTACTAATGCACTCTTCCACATTGATTTCCTCAGAAATGACCAACTGCAATAAGGCTACACGTTGATGGTGAAATGAATTACGTGTCTCTGATTAGAGAGAAGAACAAGCGGTAGCACAGAAAAACCACAACCTGGAAAGCACCAGGGGAAGATCTGACTATTGGAGACTAAGTTAGCAGGGTCAGTCATCTGAAGAGTTCATTGTTTTTAGTTCACCAGATGGAGGAGTGCAAACTATGGCATAAGGACACATATGACATCATCACAAACGAGTGATTACAGTGATAGATGTTCAACTTTATCCTACTTCCATTAATAGAAAAAAAAAAATCTGACAGTCTTCCAAATCAACAGAACTAAGTAGTTCCTAGGGGTGTAAATCGGACAGTTCATCACGATACGATACGATATCGATTCTCTCAGCCAGCGATACGATTATTGCCGATACCTCAAAAAATTCCGCGATACGATTACGATTCGATTCGATTCAGGGATATCAATCGATTTATCGATATTTAGATATTATGTGCCAAGTTTACACAACCAGTTACGTTTATTAACTCACAAATGCATCTAAAAATATATGAAAGTTTAATTAAACTCTTTGAAAATTGCACACCCTCTCCCAATTGGGACATTTACAAGTTGTTTGTTACAAGTTACAAGTAAAAACAAAGTTATCTGTTTTTGCAAATGAACTAACAGAAGAGGTTGTTTTGATTAAGTAATAATAACAAAAAAAAAAATACAGGTAAATTATTAAATTAAAGTGCATTGAAAGTATTTTTTTTTATATATAGGCTATAGCTATATATTTTTTGTGTGTGGCAAAAGCAGATAACTCCACATTTCATGTTTCAGAGTTAAACAAAGCCTAGTAATTGCTACGATACTTAATAAAACACTTAATCTTTGTAATGTTAATCTCCTCAGCTGACATCTAGACGCCTGTCAAACTTTGTTGTTGTGAATAACGTACACGCGATACAGAGAGCTTTTCCCTCACCACTAACCTGCTGTTTTAGCAAGATTCCGTGAAAAAGTTTCAGATCTTATATCCTTTTATGCCCCGAAGAAGATATCACAGGTTCATCAAGTTCGTTGAAATCCATCCTCGATCACTTTTAATCAGCTTTGACGAAACTCCTCTCAGCTAGCGCGTCTTTTCAAAGTGACTAACAGGCTTGTCACCTGACCTGAATACTGCGCACTGTTTCACAAACAAGGGTGCTTGTCGTTTCTGCTGTAAAAGATGAACTCGCGATGCCTTGACAGTGGAAAATACCGGCTTTTGTGACAAAGGGTTCAGTCAATCTTGTCAGGCGTCTATTTCAGCTGAGAAAAATTACGTGAGGATGTGGAGAGTGTCAAAATAAAGGTACCGTATAATCGATATTTTATGTGTGGCATCGATGCATCGTATCGTTAGACTTTTGATCGATGTATCGATCCATATCGATGTATTGTTACACCCCTAGTAGTTCCTGGTTAAAAATTGACCTTGTGGAGCCGATGGATCTCCAGTCTTTCTGCTGTTACCATACGAAAACCAATCATCTAACTTCACTGTTGCCATAGCACCAAGGCAGAGCTGCGGATTGGAGGAAAACAACCTGTTACCTTTGGAAAACCAAAGAGCATAACGCAAACAGGTGGCATCAACCCCCTTTCATTAAGAACAGTACAACCTGAAGATCGAATTTTCAATGCAACTAACATAATCCACTGTAGCTTTACATCAAACTTAAATCATCTATCCTAGCATCTTTCGGCCTTGCATGAAAGCAGGTGTGTTTGGCAGTTGTTCTTTGACCTGGCTATAACCAAGTTAACAGGTGTAATTGTACTAGTGTAGTGAGCTTCAGTGCATGCTTTGATAAGCAGAAAAGACAGGCTCAACATATGATCCACTCCATTCAGTGATCAACCAATGTTTTTCAGCAGCAAGTCAAAATGTAAACCATATAAGGAACATAAAATATTTCTTTAGGGTAGTAATGGGCCACACACGAAAGTAACGCAACATATTCTAGTGTTAAAACAGAAAGGCAGAATTGAACATGTTGCATTAATGTGTATAATATGAACTATACATGCTGTTTGTTTGTTGTTTTTTTAACACCATTCCAGCTTCTTCGGCTCTATTCCTGGTGAAAAATAAGATATTTAAGACCCATTTTTCTTAAAAAGTCTAAAACTAAACCAAATATCCCATTTGTAAATACTCGCCCAAAGACTCATCCGATTGGTCCAGTAAGGCCAAATATGTTCCTCTAGCGCATTTTTACATTAACCTATATATATATATATATATATATATATATTTTTTTTTTAAATTGTCCAGATATTCACCCCAAGACATATTCACCTTCTATATATAAAAAAACAAAAACAAAACATGATAACTTTATGCACGGTGTAAAATCTACACCTGGTTATGAACGTAAAAATTAGCGTAGAAATAATGTTCACTCAGAAAGTGATTGTAAATTGCACAAACAATTACAAAGAAAAATTGCAACTAGAAAATTTAAAATAGTATTTTCTTGTAAAAACATACTCAAATAATGTTATTTACAACTTTAGAAAATTATTTTTTACAGTGTGTGAACGTGGACAATTATGGCACACTCAGGGGAAAATAGCTGATTCTCATTTTCCAGGTATGCTCACACACCACAGTCTCTCCTGTATATAGGTTGGTAGGTTGATGTTTAGTTCAATCAAACCCTCATTAAATTTTACAACGATTTATCTTAGTTGCACAAAAAGGGGAGTCCTAAATAGTGTTTGCACTATGCGGACACAAAAATGTAACCTCGTCTACCAGAAACATGATGCAAAATAAACATAGAACAGTGTCTATTACAGTGTCCTGAGGCCTGTTTAAAATTTCATTAGCTTGGCCTTGTTCTCTTGGATCAACCTTAACCCAAAAAGCCAGTGGGGCGTCTGCTCCCTTCTGGGGATGGGATAGTTTTACACCTGCCCTGTCTGACAACACCACAGCCTGGCAGCCAACCACCACGTGGCTCACAATGACTGACACAAATGTTGTCAGAGTCAGATAACACAATACACACACAACTATTGTGCATGTTTCTGTTGAATACATGCAAATACAAAAAGAGTCCTCTCTAAACCTGCAAACACTGTTACAGCTATCTGCGTATCAGTGTAATGTAGCTGTAGATGTGGATAAGAATTATTCAAAACCAAGTAATATAAACAAGCAACATCAAAATAAATGAACAGGACAACATCAACTCGTGCACAGTTTAATGTAACTGTCTTTTTCTCCCCAAGCACATTTCTCTCGACAATCTTCTAAACCCGTACACAGTCCTCTGAGAGTAACAGACTGTCTATATTGGACTGTGATAAGTAATTATAGCTCATAAAAACAAATAACACACAGGTACATGGATCCCTATGCTGTTCTCCTATACACTACACCTCAAATAATGAATCTGCTGGTCTCTGGGGCCATAATGGACTTCAGATGCAAATTAGACTGTGTGCAGTCATTGTAAAGCATTCATTAATAGTTCATTAGCTTTTATAAACAGTCCATTGAGTTCTCAAGTGAGTGCACTTATCTTATTGATTGAGAATTATTTATAAGCAACCAGTATACTTCTAAATACATGCACTTTAATGTGGCTGAAATGCAGGTTTCATATCCTTTGGCGTAGATGAGTGCACGGTTTATAAACCTTTATAAAACTGAAAGTTTGAGATCTAAAATCTGTTATGAAACAGCCAACATACAAACACCTGTGACTGCACTTTAAATTAATTATTAAATGTGCCACATTGCTACAAACCATTAAAACTATTAGTTAGGCTAATAAACTGCATTACTTGTCAGCGGAATTGCTTATTACTATTAATATATAAATAATTGAACATTACTGTATTTGATCATACTCCTGGAAAACGCTAAAATCTGTGTGTTCATGATTTTACCAAGGCTAAGGGAGTTTAATGCACTCCACTTTGCATTGTGCCAAATGAGCCAAAGAGAGCACACGTCACTCCTCTCCTCACAAAATTGCACTGGTTGCCAGTTGCCGCTCGCATTAAATTCAAGTCACTGACGTTTGCCTACAGAACAACCACTGGCACTGCTCCCTTTTACCTAAACTCATTACTTCAGACTAATGTGCCATCCAGAAACTTGCGCTCTGCAAGCGAATGTCGTCTTGTGGTACCATCTCAAAGAGGCACAAAATCTCTTTCTCGGACCTTTACCATGACTGTTCCCTGCTGGTGGAATGATCTGCCTAACTCAACCAGAGCTGCTGAGTCAGTAGCCACTTTCAAGAAACAGCTGAAGACGCATCTTTTTCGGCAGCACTTGATCCAGTAATACTAACACTTTCTCTTCTATTTTTTTATTTAAAATAAATAAATAATAATAATTACATGGAGAATTAATTATTCTCTCTATTATTCTCTCTATTATTCTCTCATTCATCTCTATTTCATAGTTAGATGAAACTGAGAGGGGTCATAACACTTGCATATTGTTGTCCTACTGTTAGTTTAACTGCTTCTATTGTTCTCATTTGTAAGTCGCTAAATGAATAATTGTAAATGAATAAATGTAAACAACACCCCTTAATTGACATAGAAATCACTGCACTGCCTCTTATAGCTTTTGGTTTTGTTATACTACCAATACAAACAGGATGGTAGTCATTTAGTTGTAGTCATCGTTTTTATATTAATGCCAATATCTAGGAGCAGGGTGGTTGGCCAAGTCTGATTAAGTTGAATTAAAGCTGATACATCAGTTTATCATTAATACATAGCAGTGGCCTCTGTGTGCTGCACTTACCCTGTTCTGTGCGGGGTCGTGTGGTCTGTGATCTGCACTAGTACTCATGGTGTCCTGGTCATCTGAGGTCGATGTGTGGGTGGGGTCGGTATCGCTGCTGGTGCAGACTCTGTGTCTCAAGACAAAGGCGGCGGCCTTGTCCTCCCTCACCTCCCCCCCGTCCAGCTTGCTTCCTGTTGCTTCTGGTCTTTCTTAATACCACTGGACCGAGAGGACGCTTGACTCCAAAACTGTCCTCCGTGGATTCACAGCAGAACACGAGACTCACTGCTGGACCTGGTGAAGACATAAGAAATAACATTAAATAACTAAGTGAGATGCCTGGGGGATTTTTACACTACCATTCAAAAGTTCGGGGACTCTCAAAGAGTTTTTTTATTTTTTATTCTCACTGACCACAAACGTTTAAACCATATAAGCCCATGTAATCATCATGCTTGTGTAATTGGCACAAAGAGCTCACTATTTGAACTAAAGTTATGCATCTGGTTAATTAATGCCGAAAAAAACGTCTCGATGGGCTTACTATAGATGGAGTAAGATCTCAATAACACTACAAAGAAATTCATAAAACCTGTTTCACAACACATTTTGAAATCAACGATTCTGCCTATTAGTACATAATGGGGTTTGTCAAAAACGTCTCTGCAAGGACCGATAAAACCTTAATCCAAGCTAAAAATGCAATACTTTCATCCGACTACCACAATCAGATGTTGCAAGCCCTGCGGTCCTGCCAGGCTACTCGCACCACGCAAGCGCACTTGAGTTTAAACCGTCACCTGAGGTTCATTGTCACTACATATCTGAAGTCATGCCAGAAAGCTTTAGATCGCAAAGCTTAAGGATAAGCATCATATGATAAAGGGAATGTTTTAACAAGGCCAGTCAGGATCTCTAAGCAATCTGCATCCACATTCTGAGGAAATAGAGATTAGCTTGGTTATTACGCCACATCTACAGCATTTGACCAAAATCAGCCCTCTCCTTCAAACTCTCTCTGCCAGTCTGAAGTGTGTTTAATTTGAGTTGATCTCAGCTGCAAGCCTTGAGCAGTCTGCCAAGCTCACAGAAGCAAGAGGCTTCACAGTCACAGCTGTGAAACTGACAGCGATCGTCTGCTTAAAGTTTCACTCCTTTTGTAAATGAAAAGTGTGGCAACAGCAGTCTGTTCACAAGCCAGGAAATCAGATTCAGCTAGAAACTCTAATTGCACGGAGGTCTGTGTCCAGTTTGGTAAAAACATAAAGATGCCCTTTTCTTCTCAAGTTCAGCACTCTCTGGTGTCACATCAACTGCTTCGGTATCATGTGACACTGTAGGAGTGTGAAACTGACCCCTCTTGCCCACATGGACTACTGTGCACTGTTTTGTGCCTGAGGAGAAAACTGATACAAATAGTTTGAATGTCTCCATACAATCATCCATCCATCCATAGGGTGGGGAGGAGCCAACAAGTCATTATCGGTTAATTATCAGCTCATTCATTATGTTCACTTAATAAATGCCTGTTTAACTCCCACATGAGTGTCATATTTACATGCAATCCTACAGCTGTCGAGACTCGAAAGTGAACAAAATCAATGTATCATATTATCTGACTTTGTTTTTTGTAGTCTAAATGTCAAAAAGATGATAGCTGATGTTTAAACCTGCATACAAGGGGTTTGAAATGAGATTAAAGTGATTTTGAAATTTGTATGAATAGTCTGAACAATTCATCCCCGCAGTCTGAGTTCTGAAATGATTTAATCACTAGCAAAATTATATTGCAGCCAGACAGTCCTAAAGTCTGGATATAAAAAAGCAGATTGGATTTTTGTGCAACACACAGTCAACAAAGTATTCCTAGGAAACAAAGTTTACACAGAAATTGGTGACAATAGGCCTTTTCATGAGCAAAATACACTTCCAAAGAAGCAGGTAGTCAATTTCCATTGTGTAGCTAAGACTTTTACCGCAGAAACAAAACAGAGAAAGAAATAAATCAATTGAAACACCAGTCAGCAAAAGTGCTTACCAGAGAATACAGGGAAGCAGGGGAAAAGGAAATGACATTTGAAATTGATTTTCGTTTGCCATTCAAACAGCTGACCAACTGCCATCTGACTTTTCTGTGTTTTCAGCTCTAAATTGTCACAGTTTGGGAATGTCAGCAATTACAAGAAAAATATCTGCAAAGACAAGTTTCATTCTCGAAGGGAGGCAGTCTTCACACTGTGCTTTGGACTGGCAAGAAGTGTCAAAACACACCAGAGAGGTGTCACTGATTCATGACACCAGACCTTAAACTGGATCTAAGATTTCTAGAAAGAGAAGGATGTAGTGTAGATTCTACAAAACCTAAAAGGCATGTGTCCATCCTCACTGACTCTTGGAAAGGTCTCTAGAAAAGGGGACAGCCCAATAGACCTTTTGCGCCAGAGAAACAAGCACATTTTTGCTGTAGATCTATACATTTCTATGGCATCGCTGTCGAAGTGTAATTAGCAGGTGAAGTGGATTTACTTATTGAACAAAAGTTATCATGAGCGTTATAATGTTTGGAGCAGTTGTCATAAACATCAGTAGGAAGACAGGAAGAATTTAAAACAAGCGGTTTGTTCATAAATCCGTAAGATCTCACCTTCTTGCTGTGAAAATACAAACATAACACAACAAGCGCCGAAATGAAAAGGGACAGGCTACATGGGTCTATAGTAAGATGCAAAAAGAAGAATAGTAAACAGAGCTTGTAGGACTACAATGTGTCGCAGGTTTCAGTGTCCATGTCCACTTGACTGTAGATGTACTTTGTAGCATCAGCCATTGTTCAAGTGTGAACATGAAGGAAATGAGTCACTATTACACTGGGAGGAGAGAGACTAAGACGGACACCTACAGATAGACAAGCACTTGGCTGCCAGACATGTCGCACACTACACCATCACATGTGCTACTTAGATGACTAACTAAATTGGACAGAGAAATGCTTGCATTACGCTTGACTCGTGAAAAGCTATACTGGATCCACCTCTCGGTTTACAGAAGGTCGCGCGCACACACAGAAATTCAAAGTAAAAGTGGTGATTCATGGAATTGTAGCATAGAATAGCTTTAATGTTTTGGCAGTAGATGAACCTCAGGAACACCACAGAGCTTTGCCAACCATGTGAATCACGTATATGATGATAACATGCAAGTGCTGAGATTTGCATTTGTTTAATAATTATACATACATTACATTTATGTTTATAATATCTCACACACACACATAGGGTTTTCATGTTTTATGGGGACATTCCATAGACATAATGATTTTTAAACAGTACAAATTGTATATTCTGTCCGCTAACTCTAACCCAACCCCTAAACCTAATTTTTATGGTTTTTAAGTGGTTTTCCTCAAGGGGAGCACACACACACACCAAAGTGTGGCACACAGCTATTTGTTTTCTAACTTTACTTATGAGAATATTACATATATATATATATATATACCCGTAATTCCTCAAATAAAGACTGGGGCCTTTATTTACCTGAACTGCAGATGGTAGCCGGCTTTTATTTGAAGCAGGCTTTTATTAGAGGCAGGCCTTTATTTCTAATTCGCGATCCCCGCCCGCCCGCCAGCCAAGTTTCCATGGTGACGCGTCATGCTTGGCACGTGTTCACCACAGCCAAAATAGCGCTGTATGACAGATGTAGCGCTTTTATTTCTAAATATTAACAAACTTGCTTACCATGTCATCAACTATCTTCTATTCTGACTCTCACATCCGTGTAAGTGAGTTTGTTTTGTCGTTTAAAACCCTTTATAAATTATCTTGATCTGTAACGTGAGATGGGCACCGCAGTTCAGAGATTCCTGTCTGTTGGATTTGTTACGTTACAGCGCATGAATTCTTCAGGTTCTCTCGAAATACATGAAAGTAAGTGGCCGGTGAACTGGGAGAAGAATAGAGTAAACTTTATAGTTACTTACACTGTGTATCTGATATGAATAAAACACGTCGCCAAATATATTTGAATGGATTGTTATTGCTGCTTCCATAGACACCATTGTGTATTTTACAAACTATAAATGTATTGTTTTGCTATAAATCATATATATTTAAATGTCTGAAACCTAAAATAAACATGTGGTTAAAAACACTGAATAGTTGTGATATGACAACCGCTGAGCGAGTCCGTCTTTGAGTGTACACTAATTTTTCCCCGGCCTTAATTTGAGACCGGCCTTTATTTGTCCGCGTTGACCACGCCCCCGGCCACTATCAGAGGCCCGGCGTTTATTTGAATACCGGTCTTTATTTGAGGAATTACGGTATATATATATAATAAATAAATGTTAAATTAAGTAATATTTAACATTTTTTATTATATATATATATATATATATATATATATATATATATATATATATATATATATATATATATATACACATACATAGCCTATAGAAAACAAACAAATCTTTATAATTTTAATATCGCACAACAGAAATGTACATTGTGTTCAGTGACACCCTGCAGCCATATTCAAAAAGTAGACCACACTGGAGCTAACTAACATGTTAAACAGAGCTTGTAGGACTAATAGTAAGTTTTGTGTCGCAGTTTCAGTGTCCATGTCCAATTTACTCTAGATGTACTTTGTGTACATCTACAAGACTACAATACGCATAAATACACAGCTGCAATACCCGATTATCATTTTCCTGAGGATTATAGACCGAAGGAAAAACATGTCTAAACCAAAACAAGTGAGAGAACGGAGAAACCCAAACAAAAGCATTTGTCGGAGCCAGCAGTCGGGTGTGTGTGTCATGTGACAGTGTAAGAGAGTGAACGGAAAGCTTAGGGGTGTGTCGTCTGTTGGTCATGAGACCAGGGCTAAACACCAGCGCAGCACTGAACTTCTGTCAGAGGGGAAGAGGCCCTTTGGGAGAGAGTGAAGAAGAAAATCTTAAGTTAAGGGAGTTAAGGGAGTGTAATAGTCTCTCCTCTTTTAAAAAACAGCTTAAATCTTGGCTTAGGGACAATTACCATTGTAATCATACATCAAATACTTAAGTCCATGAACATACTTTATTTTATTTTTTATGCTTATATTGTTTTGAAATTTCTGCTGTATTTATTATTATTATTGTTTTTTTTATTTTATTATGCTTACATTGTTTTGAAATTCCTGTTGTATTTATTACATTGCTACTGTATAGTGTATTTTTATTGACTTTTGTATTTTAGGGTGCCTGTTAAGATCTGGCTAGGGACAACAGATGGAAACTAGCACTT